GAGAAATGATGCTATGCCAGCTTCTGGTGTAGCCTTTGAGTGGTCTAGCAGTTTCTCCCTCTTCAAAAACCATCTAGCATGTAAAAAGTGACTACCCTAAGAGTATTGTGCTGTGGAAGCCCAAATTGCATGGAGAGGCCCTGCAGGATGAAAATTTACATGAGGAGAGACAGATTACATTGCTATAAGATAAAAAAATTGTAAATAAAGATGCCATCTTGTGGCAACAGTAGGCATTAGGGACTACTAGATGGGAGAGGGAGGGAGGAAGAAAGGGTTGAAATGTAATTACTGAGCACTGTGCTCAGTACCTGGGCTATGGGAACAATAAATCTCACCCAAAGCCTTAGCCTCATACAATATTCCCAAGTAACAAACCTGCACATATACCCCCTGAAATCTAAAATAAAAATTAAAATGATTAGAAAAAAGAGATTCCATCTTGGAAGAGGATTCTCTATCCCAAGCCACCATAGCTGTAACATATGCGATATGGATCAGAGATAAACTGCCCTGCAGAGCCCTTTCCAAATTTCTGTTCCACAAAACTGTGAACATAAAAGTGTTGCTTTAAGCGACTAAGTTTTGGGCTAGTTTCCTTCTTTCCTTTCCTTTTATTTTCTTTCTTTTCTTTTTCTTTCTTTCTTTTCTCCTTTCCTTGTCTCCCTTTTCTCCCCCTCCCCCTCCCCCTCCTCTCCTCTTCCCCTTCTCTTCCCTCCCTTCCCTTCCCTTTCCTTTTTAATCTATTTCTGCCAGTTTATGGAAAGTGGCTAAGGACGTTAGAAACTTACGAATACAGGAGCCTCAGTATTCTCAAATAGAACTCAAGAAAAGAATTAAGTTGGCATTTACTACTAAATGTTGAAGCAATTTAATAAAGCATTTATTTATTTATTTTCTTTTAAGCTTCATTAGTGAAGAAGTATAATTTATTTATTTATTTTTTTAATTTTTTATTGGATTTTAGGTTTTGGGGTACATGAGCAGAGCATGCAAGACAGTTGCGTAGGTACGCACATGGCAGTGTGCTTTGCTTTTCTTCTCCCCTTCACCCACATTCTGCATTTCTCCCCAGGCTATCCCTCCCCACCTCCCCCTCCCACTGGCCCTCCCCTTTTCCCCCCAATAGATCCCAGTTCAACCATTGTGGAAGACAGTGTGGCGATTCCTCAAGGCCTTAGAAATAGAAATTCCATTTGACCCAGCAATCCCATTACTGGGTATATATCTAAAAGACTATAAATCGTTCTACTATAAGGACACATGTACACGAATGTTCATTGCAGCACTGTTTACAATAGCAAAGACCTGGAATCAACCCAAATGCCCATTGATAATAGACTGGATTGGAAAAATGTGGCACATATACACCATGGAATATTATGCAGCAATCAGAAATGATGAGTTTGTGTCGTTTGTAGGGACATGGATGAATCTGGAGAACATCATCCTCAGCAAACTGACACAAGAACAGAAGATGAAACACCGCATATTCTCACTCATAGGCGGGTGATGAAAAATGAGAACACATGGACACAGAAAGGGGAGTATAATTTATTTTTTAAAAAAATTTCTGGTAAACATTGTTGCTCTCTTTTGGATAACAGCCATAGTCTCTTTTGCAACTCAATTAAAAATACTGATGAGCTAGATATCATTGATGAGTAGTTTTTTTACAGGCCAAGATTTAAATAGTCAAAACTGATGGCTCTTGACCATTGTGGTGGTTATTTTTATGTGTCAAAATGATTGAGCTATGGGCTATCCAGATAGCTGGTAGAACATTATTTCTGTCTATAAGAATGTTTCTGGAAGATATTAACATTTGAATTAGTGAACTGAGTAAAGCTGATTGACCCCTACCAATGTAGGTGTGCACCATACAGTCTGTTCAGAACGTGAATAGAACAGAATGGTAGAAGAAGCTTTAATTCATTCTCTGCCTAACTTCTTGAGCTGGAACATTGCTCTTCTGCTGTCAGTGCTCATGGCTCTCAGGACTTTGGACTACATTGCCTGTTGTCCTGGGTCTCCAGCTTGCACACCGCAGATTATAAGATTTTTCATTATCCATATTTGTGAGTCAGCTTCTTATAATACATTTCATTTTTTTTATTATATCTCTCTCTTATCTATCTTTCATCTATCCATCCCTCCCTCTCTGTCTCTCTCTCTGTCTCTCCTATTGGCTGTGTTTCTCTGGAGAACCCTGACTAATATAACCCCTAACTCAACCACTACCCGGTATCATTGCTAAAATGTCCTTCAAGCAAGAACTTGGAAGGCAATATATATATCACGTCATGTTTTAACAGATAAGCACTAAGATTAAATTTTGTATTACTCTCCTGATGGCTATTATAGTCAGCAGGTGACTTGATTCAATTCTTAAACAGGTCTAGACTATAGAACCAACTGCCTTATGGCTGTGATAGCTGTTTAGGGCAGTTACTCATTCATTGATATTTGGTTTGAGTCCCACTACTGTTAGGCAGCAGGTGTTAGTTCTATAATCTCTGCAAAAGAGTCAACAAACTTATTTTATCACAGCCAGTGGATTCTGTGGTTGGGTAAAACTTTCTAATGTTCGTGACACTGATTAGAAGCCATCAGAATTTTTTGAACATATTTCTTTCTGTAAGAATAGCCAACATTTCTTGAATACTATGTGTCATAGTGCTAGAAATTTTATAAGTAATATCTAATTTAATCCCTACAGCAATCCTATAATTATCATTGCTATCTCTGTTTTATAGTAGAAAAACTGAGGCATAATCATACAACTATTATAGTTGATTAGTAATTCAAATCCAGGTTGACTACAGCATAATTTTTTAAACAACTGTTAAAATATGTAAACCTGTTTGCATCAGGCATTAAACAAACATTAGTGTAGTGTTTTTATGAGATTAGAGCTGCATATAATATAAAGCTTATTGTTGCACATTAGATATTAGTGATAGAATTATTAACTTAAGTTGAAGGAAAAGAAAACAAAAGTAGAATCCTTAGTTTGATTTGCATAAACTACTTATGACAACTATAAACAAGCAAACCTTGATAAATCTGTCAACATATGTTGGGAACACATGCTTTAATCACATAATATTAAACATAAAAATTATATGATATTCACAGCAATGGTTTCAAATAGTGGAATTCCAGAGAAACTCTAGTATGTACTAACTGATGAAACTAGTTTTCCATTTCGCAGGCAAGATTATAACAAATATGAATCAAAGTGCTGCCTTTAAAATCACAATATTAGCATGAAGAAGTTGAATGGAATTTACAAAAACAACCAAGTTTAAAAAAGAAAAACAATACAGTTCAAATATCTGAAAAAAATTATCTGGTAATGGGCTATTTCAGATAAAATAGTCTTGACATAAAGGTCAGTTGTAAAGAAATTTTGGAAGCTGGTTATAAAATTAAAAGCATTATAAACATGAATGAAATATTTTCTATTACCAGATATATAAGTATAAATCCATGTACAATCTGATTTATTATAAAATCTTACTGTATGACACCAATAAAACCGTTCTATATCAAAAGGGACAAACCCTAGTACTTCCCCCATTTGCCATGTGTTGCAGGCAGTTTCATGCACCTGCTGTGGGTGTGTTTTCATCACTAAAGCAGAAAATTCAGGTACAGAAAAGCCACTATGGATCCCATTTATCTAGAATTTAAAACCTTTTTGCATACATTTCTGTTATTAAATTAGGATAGCTAAGCCAAAACAAAAGTGCTCCACAAAAGTAAAAAAGAGTATAATTTAACAAATAATTGAAGGGGCGGTTCTGTAAGTGTCATCGAAATTTCGGACATTAATAGATGATGAACATTTTAGTAACACTCAACAGTTCCACTTCACAAGAAATTCAAAGATGTGATTTTGGACTAAAGTTTGTAACAACAAAGTCTTTGCTATGTATGTAGAAGAGTAACATCTGGTCTCAACACTTAATTAAACTAAACCTACTCTTAAATATTAAATAAATTAAAAATGAAAATGTATGGGGAAAAAGTAAACTGCTAAGAAAATGTCTAAGAGTTGCCAACAATGAATAGTACCGTCCCAAAATAAATGCCACTACCATTTCTGACTGCCTGGATAAGAATCTCAACCTCTCGAAGGTTCATTTTAATCATAAAAAGGCAGAATGAAATTGCTTACTTTTCTATGGAAGGTACTAAGAAATTTTCTTACTATTTTTCTAAAATTTGATGATGTCTTGCTGTTTTTAACAGGATTTTAATATTAATTTTGTATTTTGACTGTTATTCTTCCATGTTCATATTTGAAGAATTTTATTAAAATTGGGGAAGGAGAGATCTCTGCTGAAATCAGGAAAGGAGAGGCTTTTCAGTTGTGGGAGAATTATTTGAAGTGTTAGCCCTCAAAGAAGAAAACTATTGTCATTTTTGTTCCTCCCAGTCTCCTGCTCTTTGGGGATTATTTCTCTTTTAATTTATAGCTCTGTGTTCTAAAAAGTGAAGAGAGATTACAAACTACATTTTAAAAGTGTATTAAATATAACTTATGGTAAATTAGTAATACCTCTTGAAAAATCCTGCTATGAGCTCTCTCATGGTGCTTCCTCTGGGGGAAGATAACTCAATTGTGTTGATTTAAAGGTTCTGTCTAGTTCTCTTAAACATTCCTTTGATGTTGTATTGCTCAGCTTGTAATAGACTGTTATTGCCCTATATTGAGTTTGCAGAGTGAAGGTAAATCTTTCGTGATGTGATTGTGCCACAGCAAACTCAATATTGTTCACAGGGCCTTTATAACTCTCAGTTACATGGCAGCAGAACAGCACACATTTTCATTTTTACCTTTTTAGATTTGTATTCTTTGTTCTGAAACTGAAAGTATGTATGCTGACACACACTCTATAGCGCTTGTTCTGTGAAGCGGTAACTCATAAGCAAAGAGAACATTGTCAGGCGGGTATTTTTTCTGAAATTGTCAATTTTATTGTTAATCTTTTTCTTTATATTCCATTAGGTACTCTAGTATGTTATTGAAAAGGCACCACCACTGGGGAAACCTCAACTCAAATCTCTACCCAGGTTCTACTTTGAACTGTTTTCTAAGCATACGTAACAACACCATTAAAAGAGTCTCCTGAGGAGCTCTCGCCTTCCCTGAAACTCAGATAAATGTAATTACCTCTCGTGGTAGATCACAAGGTAAGACCTAGGTGACCAGAAGTATTAGCATAGTTAATTGGATTGTTTCACTGAAAATGGAAACATTCTTTATGTAATGGCTTAAGTTATCATTTCCTTCTTTTGTTAAATTTCTTGCAAAAAAATCCAGTATTTTTTCACTGGAGCAACATTCAACTCATAATTTAAAACTGCTTGTGAAGCAAAGTAGCACTAAAACTATGTTTTATGCATTTGTTTTACTTCTTGGCATGTGCCTTGTGATTATTCTTTCTTTCCTGTTATTTTAAAGGATATGATCACAGTTTTGCAATGATTATTATGTGATAAAAAATTTTGAGATAATAAAGAATATCCATAAATGTAAGGATGTATTTAATATGTTACAGTAGACTGGATTTTAAATAACCACATGCATTGAATATCCTCTTCCTCCTCCTCCTCTTCCTTCTTCTTCATCTCACTCTGTTGCCTAGGCTGGAGTTCAGTGGTGCAATCTAGGTTCCTGGGTTCAAGCTTCATGGGCTCCCTTTTGAACCCGCTTCCCAGGTTCAAGTGATTCTCCTCCCTCAGCTTCCTGAGTAGCTGGAATTATAGGCATGCACCACCATGCCTGGCTAATTTTTTTGTATCTTTAGTAGAGACAGGGTTTCACCATGTTGGCCAGGCTGATCTCGAACTCCTCACCTCAGGTGATCTGCCTGCCTCAGCCTCCCAAAGTGCTGGGATTACAGGTGTGAGCTACTGTGCCTTACTACCATTTAGTATATTCTTTCAAGGTAGCCAAATAATTATAGTTCTGGAAAGGTCAACATTTCCTCTGCTATAAAAACATTTTTATTATTTTCTCCCTAGCTAGTAAAAACAAAATCAGCAGTCTTCAATCCTCAGAGACTGACAGTTGTACTGGCAAATGTCTATTGTATTTGCATGTCTGATTATCTTCTTCCCATTTTCCCCTTCTTGGCATTTCCTGTCTTCAGTCTAGGCCTCTTGCAAGTGAAAGTTGTAAGAGCTCTACAATAATTTTTGAAGAAAATCAGACATAATTTACAGAAAGAAATTTTCTGTGGTTTTGCTTAATATGTTTAATTTTTAAAGATGAATATACATATTGCTCAGTGAGAATGAGGTTCATGATTAAAACTAGAATTCCTTAGTTGGATTGAATCTTGGAGCACATCAGTCCTGGAGGTTGCAAATGAATGGTCATTGGGCCATATAAGGGCATATATCTTTTATTTGATCCACACAAAGCTTAAGTTTTCTTTTTCTTAAATTAGGTGCTAGCATTTAAAAATTGAAGTTTTATCTTAAACATGAATTTCCACCTTCTTTTGGGAGTTCTGGTGACACTGGGCCAGCATTCTCACAAAGGATGTCTCTTTAAATGGCTGTGCATTCTTCTGTGGGCCAGAGTCCTCACACGGGCTGCTCCATTCCTTTTCATTACTGCAGGCATCTGAGTTCATGGCATCTGTTTCCAGTCTAATTCCTTCAAGTTCTTCAACCTCTTCACTTTGTTCACACTGGCCCCCCTTTTTTGTCATGCCTGTTGCTCAAATCCTTACACCTCAAACAGCATTTTCTCCCCCCAGCTTTTTTCAGTCACTCATCAACTCATAGGAATCTCTCCTGCTCCTCTACCCCTTATGAACTGTACACACTGTATACTGATTATATTTTCATCTTGCTGCCCCAAAAGCTGTGAACGCTTAGAGGGCCGGGGCCGATTTTTGCAACTCACATGGTGACTTTCAGCACAATACCCTGTACTTAGTAACTTCTCAAAACATGTTTGCAGAGTTAAATTTAGTGAATTAACTTGGCCTTCATCATGAAGGGAAAGAGGGCAAGAATCCCAGAGGCTTTAACCCCAGGTTCATGTCTTTCCATTTTTTGTTTAACATGTTCTGCCAAATATTGTATTTTTTTTTCTTTTCTGAGAAAGAGTCTTACTCTGTGCCAAGGCTAGAGTGTAGTGGCACGATCTCAGTTCACTCCAACCTCTGCCTCCCCGGTTCAAGGATTCTCCTGCCTCAGGTTCACAAGTGGCTGGGATTACAGGTGCATGCCACCATGTCTGACTAATTTTTGTATTTTTAGTAGAGACAGGGTTTCACCATCTTGCCCAGGCTGGTCTTGAACTCCTGGCCTCAAGTGATCTGCTGCCTCAGCCTCCCAAAATGCTGCGATTACAGGTGTGAGCCACCATACCCAGCCCAAACATCATATTCTTTATTAGTAAAACATGGGAAAGTTCCTCTCCGACCCTTAACATCCTGAGGCTTTCATCAATAGTCTATAATGTTTCCATCATTCATGTGCCTTAGGTGCTCAGAAACTCACACACAGGTTTTGTGATTACTTGGGATAGTTTCCTGAATCTGGGTTTCTGATCTAATAATTCTTGGTTTTTGATTTGATTTTTATCTTTTATCTCTACCTTAGTAATTTTTTAGTCTATTTAGGAAAAAGAAAACACACAGAAGAGTTGTGAAGACTGAATGAAATACAAGTAAAGCTCATTTTATGGCTCACAATAGTTGGTGGGCGTTACTTAATTGCATTTTGTTCTGTACTTTTAATTTTAAGCCAATTATATCTCCTTTTCCTCTCTTTCCCTTATGTAGAAGGAGGATAAATACATATAATAGGAAAGACATCATAAAAGATGAAGAAAGCCACTGACCAGCTGTTACGTGTATGAAGATGGGGCTAAATCTTGAGCAATGAAATCCACAGCATGTGTGTATGTATATAAAAAAGTAATTTATGATTAAAGTATGGGTTTTAACTGTTAGATTACTGAAATTTAAACTTTCTATCCAAGTGGTCAAGGAAATAAAATGGGAGACCAAAGTGTAAAATCCCTTAAATGGGTAACTGAAGGTAGATTACTACTATCATTCACTTCAGTAATTGTAAAATGAGCTGTTAAGTCACAGCTGAAAACTCTTTGGCCAATACCACTGGAAAAGGATTTGCTTCATTTCCACCTTCTCTCTCTACACATGATCTGTTTCCCCTCTTCTATTTTCACCTTTGTATGAGGGTCCCAGGACCCTTGGGAAGTACATTCCCAGAATCTCTGCCAGTGATGCTCTGAGTTTGATTCTGCTAGGAGATGCATTCATGTCAAGATCTGCAATATGAAAGGGAAGTGGAAGCCAAGTTTTTCTTCTGGTAGCAGCAGGCAGACGTGTGCTTCCATAGATATGAGGTTTTGCAGCAGCTTCTGAACATTTTTCAAAAAGTTACTTGACTTTTCTGATTGAAATACCTGCCGCAGTTTCTGCTTTCCTAGATATTTACCTGATTGATGGGACCTCTACTGACACACTTTGAGAAGCACCCAGCAGAGTACCATTTAGTCAATTTACTTGTGACTTTGACATGATTAAATACTTAAAATCAGACAACTGACCAGAATATGGTATGAATGAATATCTCCAGAATAAAAAGAGTATATTTTCTCAAAAAGTTCTTTTCTTTTCTTTCTTTCTTTTTTTTTTTTTTTTTTTTGAGACGGAGTTTCGCTCTTGTTACCCAGGCTGGAGTGCGCAATGGCGTGATCTCGGCTCACTGCAACCTCCGCCTCCTGGGTTCAGGCAATTCTCCTGCCTCAGCCTCCTGAGTAGCTGGGATTACAGGCACGCACCACCATGCCCAGCTAATTTTTTGTATTTTTAGTAGAGACGGGGTTTCACTATGTTGACCAGGATGGTCTCGATCTCTTGACCTCGTGATCCACCCACCTCGGCCTTCCAAAGTGCTGGGATTACAGGCTTGAGCCACCGTACCCGGCCAAAACCATAAATATTTTCTACCTGCAACTTAAATTCAACAGTTACCAAAATGTTCTGTACATCATAGGTATTTAGTAAATATTTACTGATTTAGATGTGAAGATAAAAATGCCTTATTTTTTTTACCAGTGAAATCTGGTGCATATGAACAATATTCCTTATGTGGAAATAATTTAAAAGATGTTTGTTATTTGGGTTTTTGGAATATAATCAATACACTGAGCACTATGACAAATCTATGATTGGCTTTGGTTCCTGCTCAGTAGGTAAAGAAAATGACAAATTACAATTTTCCTTTGGCTTTAGGTTAGCTAGAATTTCAGAAAAATTGCCCCAGCAAACTTATTTTAATCAACCTGAAACACAGTAAGGAAATTTGCTACAACTTAGTTAGAGCCACGTAGTGTGAAGGGCCAGCACATTGAGGTCTCCTGTTTGAGTTACAGAATTAGCAATACTCCCATGAGCCCACCCTTCAAAATTGCTTCCCATCTATAAGACAGAGGTGTCTCGACTGGAATTCAGAGTAATTCTTCTATAGAAAGATGGTTAGTTACAGTCAATTGTATGCTTTTTTGTTTTAAACTATATTTCTAATTGTGCTAGATCCCTGCTGCCTGCTAGATTTCTTGCATCCGATACTTTGTCTGTATTAGATGAATGGATTCAGGTTGATTTTGTGCAGGTTTGGGTGTCCTTTGTGAGATGCTTCTTTGTCCTGGTTAACATGATTTGCTTGTTATTTCATCTTACTTTTTAAACAAGAATTTTATTAAGGTAAACTAAAAAACTTAAGAAAATAGCATCATGTAGAATAGTAAAAATGAGTTTTTTTTTTTAAGAAAAGAATGAACTGATACTACATAATAAACCAATTTTGATGTATGGTAAAAACCACTGGTAAATTGAGATAATTTATAAATACTTGAGATGATCGAGTTTATTTTTTAGAAAAAATTGGCATAAAGCATAAAATCTTTTCTTTTCCCCTTCATCTGTGCTACACAGTTTTGAAAACTAAGCACGTAGAACTAAAAGCAGAATAATAAAATCTTGAGTTACCTTAATCTAACTAATAAGAAATCTGAAAAATGCAATTGACTAAAAAAACTTAGAAAATCTACGTTGCTGCAGCCACATTTTTCTTCCAGTTTTCAGAAAATCACAAAATATTATTTCATAATCAGATTTTAAATGAAGAGAGACAAAGTGTAAATTAAATATGAAAAACTAATTAAAGTAGTGTACTCCTTTTAGTAGTGCCCTGCTCCATCACACCCCTTTAAGGAAAATCTACTCAGGCTGTAAAAAAAATTTTGCATTTTGATCTTTGACTTAGAATGAAATCCTAAAAATTAAATAAGCATGAAAAATAAATAAAATATAACATAGCAAAATTAAAAAGTAAGCAAAGAAAACCAGAAAAAATAATTCATAAAAGTCTTATTACAAAGATAAAATCCTAAAATATAAGTAAAAGCCAATCTCACAAATGCCTCTGGGAGAAAACAAATAATGAAAATAAACCAGACAAATGGTTAATTTTACTAGGCAGAATAAAATACCAGATTTTAGAGCTGTTGAATTAATGCGGTTATACTAATGTACTATGTAATTTTATTATGTGTAAGATTCTATGTTATGAACTTCAAGAAAGCCTCAAATAAATTGAAAAGGACATTGTGGTCAAGAAATTTACAGTTCAGATTGGTCGTGGTAGCTCATGCCTATAATCCCAGTATTTTAAGAGGCCTAGACAGGAGGATAGTGGCCAGGAGTTCAGGACCAGCCTGGGCAACATAGTGAGACTCCAAATGTACCAAAAACAAACACAAACAATTGTCAGGTGTGATGGCACCTGTGGTGCCAGCTACTCCACAGGGTGAGGTAGGAGGATCCCTTGAGCCCAGGAGCTTGGCATTGTAGTGACCTATGATGGGACCACTGCACTACAGCCCGGTGACAGAGAAAGACTGTTGTTGTATTTTTTTAAAGTTTATAGTTTAATATAAAATGAAAAACATGTTGAAAAGTGATTTAGATTATAAAATTAAGCATAATTTTTTAATGATAAATTTTGTTGTAGGATAAAAATAATAAAGAAAAGTTTTAATTCTTTAGAAGTTTTTAATTACATTGATATATGTTTCAAATATAGACAAACATAAGCCTTGGCAGAAACATCTATTCGTGTGTCTCTATTCAATTCAACTCACAGCAGTTCAAATCAAATCATTCAATCATTTACTTAGTCAATTAATAATTTAGTTATGCATGAAATATATATTGAATATTTACTGTTGATTGGTGCCTTGTACATGCTGAGAATAAAGGGATAAGTAAAACAGACCTGACTGCTCATCACGGAACTTACAGTCTAATGATAGAGAGAAGATAGTAATCAAATGGTAACGCAGATCAACGTATACTTTTAAAACTTGCACGAGCTCTGATTTAGCAGCAGAGATGCAGTGAAGTATATGTTAGGAGGATCTGCTGTAGCTGGGGCTTCTGAGAAGGCTCCAAGAGAGCTTGATTTTGAGCACATTTTTGAAGGGTGTGTAGAAGTTAGGGTAAAGGAAAAGGTCATAAAGGATAGAGAAGTTGAGGAACTGAGAGGTCCAGGTATTGAATTTACTTATATTTCAGAAAGGATTAGAGTGAGCAAGACCATAGCCAGCTATTAAAGTCTTCAGTGGACGAGGAGTGCTCAGAAGACAGACAGGCTGAATGGCATGAACCTGAAAGCTACTGGGTTTTGTTTGCTTTGATTAGCTCATGGGTTTTATATTGTTCTTAAAAAAAAGTAGAGAAGTGATGGTCTAAAAGTTGTATCAGGGAAGTAGAGGACACGAGTCCTAATTATGAGGTACGAGGGATGTAAAAGATTGAAAAGCCACAACCAGAGTTGTGGTGGCTGTGAGAATGTGCCTTGCAGACCTCAACTACTGACAGATTAATTAACCAAGGGTCAAAGCTACTGAGCTCTGACATCAAGGCCATGCTTCCCACAGGATACCTCCAGAGCTGACAGAGTGCAGCAGAAATTCTAAGGCAAGACAACTTTAGAGAGACATGGGCCTACCATGATGGCTAGTTTTGGTTCAAGGACTTGCCAATGGCCTTGTTAACCACTCCTGGGTCTGTACAATAGTCTAGTATGCTTCCACCCAACCATCCCCTTCTCCCTCCTTCACTCTGTGTCAGACTTGCAGCACAGTCTCATGGCTCTCCCAGCCTTTGCTGGGTCCCTCTTCATTTTCTCCCACACAAGCTATTTTGGTCTGTTTTCTGTTGCTATAATAGAATGTCTGAGACTGCATCATTTATAAAGAAAAGTGGTTTATTTAGTTTATGGTTCTGGAGGCTGGAAAGTTCAAGACCAGGCAGCATCTCGGGAGAGCCTTGTGCTGTTTCATAGCATGGCAGAAAAAGATGGAAATGGAAGTTGGTGCATGCAGATAGGGTAAAACATGAGAGGCAACCTTGCTTTATAACAACCTTTGAGAACTAACCCAGGTTCTTGAGAAATACATTAATTCATCTTAATGACCTAATCTTCTAATGGCACTACCTCCCAACACTGCCACATTGGGGACCAAGCCTCAACATGAGTTTTGGTGGGGACATACTATATTCAAACCACAGTAAAAGCATTATCCCTAAGGAAATCTTTGTTTTTTAATCACATCTTAAAATACATTTCTCAGAAAAACGAAACAAACAAACAAAAAACAAAAAAGAAAAATAGACTAACACAAGAATAGGTTCCAGGGGGAAGTGCTTCAGTTCAAGCAAAGAAGTGCAGAAAATGTACATAAAGTAAGGCTAAAGGGGATTTGCTGATTATGGATGAATAATTCTTAAAGGTGTAGGGTGTAGGGTTGAGGAGGACACATTTTCTAAAAATGGCACCTTTTGAGTCATTTTTTAAAAGGTAGTTTGTGTACATGTTGACATTTATGGTCTATGGCTTCCTTTTACTTTCTCTCTCACTGGCAAGTGGGGAAGGTCCTCCCATTCTTCACCAGGCACCACATCTATGTTCATTCTTCCCTTTCCTTTATGTATACGAGAGAGAAATCCTACCACCACCTCACTCTGTTGGTCTTTCAAATTTATTAATGTATGGACTCATTCAGGGCCAAGACTAGGATGAAGCCAACAAGGAACCCAGAGTGTACAGCTTAAGGAAGCAAGGTCTCACAAGTGCCAGCCTTGCACCTGAAGGACCTGGAGAGTGAGCATCTCTTTTAATATGGGACCATACAGCATTTGCCTTATCTTAGCCCTGACCCTGTTTAAAGTATCCTAGGACTCAGAGAAGAATACAGAGTGTATTTGTAAGAGCATCCAGTCCAAAGAATTAAACTAGTCCAATGTCTTTACTCCTCTATTCTGAGATTGACTCTCAGAGTAGAGCTTCTTGCACTTCTCTTTATCCAGCAATAATTTTATATAAATGAATTTCAGTGATTATGTAAAAAGGCTTAAGCTTATTTTTGTTAAGCAGATTGGGAAATTAGAGATAATTCTTTATATTGGGCTTCAGTTCTTTTATCCCCTAATAATTGGCAAAGCTATTTTCTTATCTCATTCATTTGTTTCTCTGAGTTGTTAATTTCTCCCATTGGTTTTAATTATCTCATGCAAGAGATTTGGGAATAACCACTGAAAGTTATCAAGCATTGCTCTTTTGGGTAGTATAAATACAAGCAATGTGTACCGATTTGAAGTCATTTGGAAAATTTCAATTTCAATATTTGCTAGAATATACAGCTGAGAGGACTTGTTGAGGAGTAAAGAGAAAGTTAACAAAGGTAATGAAATAGAAGTGAGAACAATGAGGAAAATTCAGCTAGATATGAGTATTTTTTTTTCATATGAGTATTTTTAAACAGAATTAAAGGTTGTAATTCACTTTCAGATTGGTAGGAACTGGTAGCTTCTTGTTGGCTGCAGCATTTGGAATTCATGATAACTGTTGTGACAAATCAGATTAAGAAAAATTCAGTTTCATTCTACTGTCTAGCATTTCTGCAGAACTAGCTTCCACATTACGGTGCTCATAAGAAACTTCCTACATGCTTTGGTCAGCTTGGGCTGCTACAACAAATACCTTTGTCTGGATATGTCTTAACCTACCCATTCTTAACAGTAGACATTTACTTTCTATGGTTCTTGAGGCTGGGAAGTCCAAGATCAAAGTGCTGGCAAAATCAGTGTCTGGTGAGGGTTCTCTTCCTGGTTTGTTAATGGCTGTCTTCTTGCTGTGTCCTCACATGATGGTGTGGGGTCACCTGTTTGACATCTCTTTTTTACTCTTTTTTTTTTTTTTGTCACCCAGGCTGGAGTGCAGTGGCATGATCTCAGCTCACTGCAACCTTCATCTCCTGGGTTCAAATGATTCTCCTGCCTCAACCTCCCCAGTAGCTGATATTATAGGCCTGTGCCACCATATCCGGCTAATTTTTTTTTTTTTGTATTTTTAGTAGAGATGGGGTTTCACCATATTGGTCTCAAAATCCTGACCTCAAGTGATCCACCCTCCTTTACCTCCCAAAGTGCTGGGATTACAGGCTTGAGCCACTGCGCCAGGCCTCACATCCCTTCTTATAATGAAACTAATTCCATTCATGAGGGCTCTAGTTTCATGACATGATTATTTCCCAAAGGCCCTACTTCCAAATACTGTTGTATTGGAGATTAGGGCTTCAACATATGAATTTGGGAGCACACAGACTTTCAGCTCATGGCACTGGATGTGTATATTTCAAGGATCAGTAAACCAAATTAAAGAAAAATTGGGAGGGTACTGACATGGCTTTGCCAAGTACTTTCTGTTAAGTAAGGACATTAAAACAATCAGATACCATTTATTACCACAATTTAATTCCCCAAGAGTAAGAATGGCAACATTCCAGAGGAAATTAGAGCCATCCCCATGAAAGGAAGGTTGACAATTTTACAGATACTTTTCTCCCTCTCTCTCTCACACACACATACACACACACACACACACACACACACCCCAGACTCACATACCTCACATACCCAAACACACACTTTACATTATCCTCAATATTAGTTTTTGCTTTTCAATAGAGGCTGGTTAAATCTTTGCCACAGACTGACAGTTGGGATCTGCAGATTTTCTGGCCTTCCATCCTATAAAAAGCAAAAAGTTATGATATTCTAGAAAGATGTATGTTTATTTCACTCTCTAAAATCTTTATGGATTGTATGGGTATTTAAAAAATATCTTATTCTTAACTGCAGATATGTTTATTAAATACATGCCAAACACTCCCTGCTTTAGTACACGTTAATTTATCTTAATTTTATAATTACCTCTAGTAGAAAACTTTCCAAGATTTTATTATCAGAGGCCAAATAACAATTGTTCTTTAAATAATTGTTTTATTAATAAAATTTTCAAATCTTTATTTTGAGAGGACTGGAAACAGAAGACTTGGTGATCTTCTGTCCTAAGATCAATGCCCCATCTAGTGGAACATTAGACGCGGGAGGTTTCCATCACCATTTTTGTACAGTTCGGATGTCAACAACATGACCCATTAGGTGAACAGCAAGAATAAAGCATAGAGAAACATCAACAGCCATCATTCAAACCGAGTCATTTATAGTTCTACAACACACCTGCTACTCCAGATGAAAGTCTGCAGCTCAGCAAAGTGCCCTAATTTGCATGGACTTCCAGTGACCTATCTGTAAGCATACACCTGCCTGAAAGATTGGGCCCTCTGTTTACATACCTTTGCATACTGCAGGGAAGTATAATAAAGTAAAATAGCATGGATTAAAAAACTGCAGACATTTTTAAAAAGGAAATAGGAATAGTGATTGATAAGATTAAGTGAAAGGATGACAGTGAAAGGATGAGACAGAACCAAGGGTCAAATAACTTGATTTACATTCAGGAAACTCTCTATGAATCCTGAAAATTTCTTTCATGGTGTTGAAAAAAAACCACATCAATGTAAAATGTTTTTCTTATGTAGGTTTTTCAAAATAATAAACTGAGTTTGTTGGAGAAAACTTGAGGCAAGAGAGCCTGAACGTCCGAATGCACAGTTGGCCAATGGGGTTTGATCCAAGGGTCCTCATCCACAGAGAGATGCTGACTATACTCAGTCCAAGAGCTTCTGATATGACCATGAGGGTGCTGCTTTTTACCCCATACAGTATCTTTGAACCTAGTTGAGGAATATTAAGGTGATAGCTATACCTTTTCAGTACTGGCAATTTTAGAAGGGAATTTATTATTTCCTTGAAACATAATTGGTACCTCTATATAATAGAAATATAAGTGGAAGCAACACCAAGGGAAGGTGGGAAACCAGTTGGAGAGTGAGGAAACCTAGGTTCTGGTCTAAACTTTGCTAAAATCCGGCAATATGTTGCTATGGGAAAACTACAACTATCTCTAGGTTTTTGTCTTCATTTGTAAAATAAAGGTTTTAGAATTGATCTTTAAAGACTCTTTCAACTCTAAAGTGTTATATAATGCATGATTTATGCTCTTCACTCTAGGGAAGCATTTCACATAAACGTTAATTTCATTGCAGTGTGTTCTGCCTTGCTAAGAGATTTTCAGATTAAAATCAATAGAAAACGCTGCCCAGTTTTAAAACGTTCCAAGGAGTAGATAAAAATGATTTTGAAAAAAATACATCATAATATCTCATGCAGATATAATAAAATAAATACAGTACCTCATGTAGATATACCAAATAAAAATAAGAATCAGTGTGATCAAATAGAATAAAGTAGTTTATACCTGTCACTGTTATGGGACAAGTAACTTATAAATAAAATATTCTTACATCTCTTTTTTGTTTTGCATTCTCTTTCTAACATATTTCTTTGTAATGGTGAATTGTATTAAACCTGTGATCCATCACAGTTAAGGGAGCATTACTGAGGCTACGATCAGGAATAAATCTTAGTTACAGGAAATTGACTCCTCATACATTCATGTATTGAAGTCTGAGACTCAGGCAGCTGTATTTTTTTTTTTTTCTTTTCCTCCCCTAGGTAGGAAAGGATTCCTCTTTCACCGTTTTGGTTGGATGTTCTGTATTTGGAAATCACATTATTAATTTTCTTTCTGTCTTTGCTCTGATCTGTGCCCTAAGCCTGTGAAAGACACAGTGACTATTTATGAAGACAGCGTTAAGTTTACTCTGGCTTTTGGTAGGGTTTGGCTCTGGGAGGCATGACAGGAAATAAGCAGATGGGAGGAGGGGAAAGAGATATTCCTTTCTGATTATTTCTTCCAGGTTTCCCCTGGCTTTAGCTCTGTAGCTGTGCCTTCTCACATGGTGGAGCTCTCACTTGTTCTGGAAACACTGCTTCCTCCACTTGCCCAGTAGCCTTAGGGGTACTCATGTTCCTGCTCCGGCTAGTCTCTCCTTGATTTGTCTCTTTCTATTCCTTAACTCTTGCCCACAGCTCTGAAAATAGTACCTTCATTCCACTCTTTTCAGGATCCCAGAGCAGGGTGTCTGACTAAGGAGACCTGGACTAGTGCTGTATCTTTCAAGAGTTTCTAAAGCCTTTCTATTAGACATTTAGCCCACAAAAGGTGGTGTACTTTTTAAATTGAGACTTAATTTTTTTATAGCTCCTATGAATTTCTAAACACAAAGATATTACATAAAAGGCAATAGATTTCCTTGTAGTGTTAGTAAGTTTTTTATTTATTTGTTTTTGGTCATTAATTTGGACAACATAGTCACAGCCAGTGTTAAAGAGCTGATCATGGAAAATTCTCCAGGATATCTTTTCCTTCTCTTACTTACTCCTTCCTTCTCACTCTCCTAAAAAAAAAAAAGAAAGAAAGAAAGAAACCAATCAATTCCTTCTCCACTCTCCTCCCCCAAAAGGAAAAAGATACCTACCCACATCTTTTTGGATACATTAATTCTTATCAGTGCCACTTTATACCTGAGAGAGTAACAATTTCTATTTTGTGATTTTTTTTTTTGGATTCCTTAACGTTTATGTGGCAATCACTGGTATAAGATTGACTTTCCAGTGTTACCACACAACACATCATAAGGCATCCACAAAAGACTAAAGATACTAGAATAAGCCAACTGATAACTAAGCTTTGATATACTGAGTTGCCATCATCTCTCTTTTCACTTAACGAATTCTTTGAAAGGAAGTTGGAAATCAAAGGCAAGGAGCAAAATGCCCAGTTGCCCAACAGAGATTTCTTTAGACTAAAGATCACCTAACACATTTGTTCTTCTTCCTTTTTTCTTGTTAACTATGTCTGATCCTGCTGTACAGGTGCTGGTTGATGCATTTTAACTGTGCTGCTCCTCCTTTTTCTCCCACCATTAACTCTTCCTGGATTCCTAATATTTTTGAAAATATTTTGTCAAAGGATTGCATCCTAAGACTGAGTTTTAGAATCTCCCATCATAGAACAAAACTAAAAGCAAAACTAACTGGTGGTTTGATTTTATAAATTCTTTATGAAAGTTATAATGTAGTGGCAGCTGGTATAGATGATTATATGTAGCAGGAAAACTGTTTTACTTTTGATGGACAAATTTTGGTCATGTGTACGTACTCAAATCTGTGGAACCTGCTACAAGGATCACAGCACATCTCAAAAATCAATGAAATCAATGCCCGTGGTATACTACCCGAGTTGTTTTCCCTCTCCCTGTCCTACCCCTTTCTCTCTTTCAATTTTTTAAGGGTTAAACTGGGTGTTTTTCAGAGTTTTACAAGAGAACTATTAGTGAAAAACAATCTGATACATTCAAGTTACTAAGGCCCTACTCTTTCCCTCTAATCTTTCAGCAGGACCCAAGGGAGGCTAAAGTTTAGATCAGTCTATTCTCCACGAGAACTTTGATTCACTATTAAATTCCGTCTAATGAAGATGACTTTGCCATCCCACAGCCATCAGCAGGCTATGTGTGGGACAATGCAAAACCCACCTTGTATAGAGGGACATTGTTCTTTCTTCTTAGTTACTCCAGTTGAATAGAATGTCATGGAAATTCACATGCACAAGAGACCTGTGAAATCAGTAACAGTACTAATCTCTAGGGTGCCATGGTGAGTCAACTTAAGGAAATAACTATTTTTACTTAAGTACACACTTGTTCATGTCTTACATCACGTCATGTTTATGATAAGAGAAAACAGCTCACACACACACACACACACAAACTCAGAATGAGAGAGAGAGAGAGAGAGAGAGAAACTTTTCTTAATCATAAAGGCAAAGTTATAACATAAAATATAATGTAACTAGTTGAGGAGTATGCACTAATTATTTCTTGACTTACAGATTAGAAATTAAAAAGAATGTTCAAGCCTGAGATTTCTTAATTTAATGCAGAAGGAATTTCTAATATGGCAACTGTGGATAGTAAAAAAATCACAAATTATGAAATAAACTGATTCAGAAATCAATTATTTATGATTGAATAAATTAATTATTTTGAATAATCAAAATAAATCATATTATGTTGAATGAAAAGTTTATTTACTTCTATTTAATTTTTATTTAATTCATGTGTGTTAAAAAATTAGTAAACATTAGATAAATGAAGCCTTACAAATACTTTTTTCTGTGGTCAATAAGGTTTGAAGGTAGTACGAGAGACAAAAAGATTTGTGTTCTTAGGAAGCAGTACACATAGTGGTTATATTCATGGACTCTTTCATTCTACCGTATACTAATAGTGTAATTTAGAAATTACTTAACCTCTGGGCCTCAGTTTAGTCCTTTGTAAAATGAGAATTACTCATCTATAAAACTTCAGCTTAAGTTGTAGTGTTGATATGAAGATTTACTGAGATAATACACATAAAAAAGCTCGAGCAATTGAAACAACAAATAATACATGTGTTACTATTATGGATATTTTATTAATCACACAACCATGCACACTGTTAGCAAAACATTTGGCTGTATAATGTGGAAAAATAATTAAATATATTGGAGTTAAAATACTAGTTTTGAAATGTGACATGACTCATATTTATTAACATGCAGCAAAATGTTAATTCTTCATATCATATATCATCTTTTCCCCTATTCAGTTGGTTAGAGAAACAGTTAACTCTATTCTGGTATATTAGCCTGTTTTCACTTTGCAGATAAAGACATAACTGAGACTAGACAATTTACAAAATAAAGAGGTTTATTGGACTTACAGTTCCATGTGGCTGGGGAGACCTCATAATCATGGTGGAAGGTGAAAGACATGTCTCACATGGCTGCAGACAAGAGAAGAGAGCTTGTGCAGGGAAACTCCCCTTTTGAAAACCATCAGATCTTGTGAGACTCATTCGCTATCATGAGAACAGTGCAGGCAAGACCCACCATGATTCAATCACCTCCCACCAGGTCCTCCCCACAGCGTGGGAATTGTGGGAGTTACAATTCAAGATGAGATTTGGGTAGAGACACAGCCAAACTGTAACATTCTGCCCCTGGTCCCTCACAAATCTCATGTTCTCACATTTCAAAACCAATCATGCTTTTCCAGCAGTCCCCCAAAGTCTTAACTCATTTCAGCATTAACTCAAAAGTCCACAGTCAATGTCTCATCTGAGACAAGGCAAGTCCCTTTTGCCTATGAGCCTGTAAAATCAAAAGCAAGTTAGTTACTTTCTAAATACAATGGGGGTACAGGTATTGCATAAATACAGCCATTCCAAATGAGAGAAATTGGCCAAAACAAAGGGACTACAGGACCCATGCAAGTCCAAAATCCAGCAGGGCAGTCAAATCTGAAAGCTCCAAAATGATCTCCTTTGAATCCATGTCTTGCATCTGGGTCATGCTGATGCAAGAGGTGGGTTCCTATGGTCTTTGGCAGCTCCTCTCCTGTGGCTTTGCAAGGTACAGCCTCCCTCTCAGCTGCTTTCATCGGCTGGCATGGAGTGTATGTGGCTTTTCCAGGCACATGGTGCAAGTTGTCAGTGGATCTACCATTCTGGGGTCTGGAGGACTGTGGCCCTCTTCTTACAGCTTCACTAGGCAGTGCCCTAGTAAGGACTCTCTGTGGGGGCTCTGACCCCACATTTTCCTTTTGCAAGCCCTAGCAGATATTCTTCATGAGATCTCTGGCCCAGCAGCAAACTTCTGCCTGGGCATGCAGGTGTTTCCATACATCTTCCGAAATCTAGGCAGAAGTTCCCAAACCCCAATTCTTGACTTCTGTGCTCTTTCAGGCTCAATACCACATGGAAGCTGCCAAGGTTGAGGTTTGCACTTTTCAAAGCCATGGTCTGAACTCTATGTTGGCCTGATTCGGCCATGGCTGGAGCATCTGGGATACAGAACACCAAGTCCCTAGACTACACACAGCATAGGGACCCTGATTCTGGCCCATGAAACCGCTATTTTTCTTTTAGACCTTGGGCCTGTTATGGAACGGGTGCCATGAAGACCTCTGACATGCCCTGGAGACATTTTCCCCATTGTCTTGAGGATTAATATTTGGCTCCTCATTACTTAAGCAAATTTCTTCAGCAGGCTTGAATTTCACCTCAGAAAATAGGATTTTCTTTTCTCTTATATTGTCAGACTACAAATTTTTCAAACTTTTATGCTCTATTTCCTTTTTAAAATTGAATGCCTTTAAGAACACCCAAGTCACGTCTTGAATGCTTTGCTGCTTAGAAATTTCTTCTGCCCGATACCCTAAATAATCTCTCTCAAGTTCAAAGTTCCACAAATCTCTAGGGCAGGACCAAAATACCACCAGTCTCTTTGCTAAAACATAGCAAGAGTCACACTTCCTCCAGTTCCCAAGAAGTTCCTCATCTCCGTCTGAGATCAACTCAGTCTGGACCTGATTGTTCACGTCACTATCAGCACTTTTGTCAAAGCCAATCAACAAGTTTCTAGGAAATTCCATACTTTCCCACTTTTTCCTGTCTTTTTCTGAGCCCTCCAAACTGTTCCAACCTCTGCCCATTACCCAGTTCCAAAGTCACTTCTACAGTTTGGGGTATCTTTTCAGCAATGCTCCACTCTACTGGCACCAATTTACTGTATTAGTTTGTTTCATGTTGCTGATAAAGACATACCTGAGACCGGGCAATTTACAAAAGACAGAGGTTTATTGGACTTACAGTTCCATGTGACTTGGGAGGCCTTGTAATCATGGTAGAAGGTGAAGGCATGTCTCACATGGTGACAGAAAAGAAAAGAGAGCCTGTGCAGTGAAACTCCCCTTTTTAAAACCATCGGGTCTTGTGAGACTCATTCACTATCACAAGAACAGTGCAGGAGAGGACCACCTCAATAATTCAATTACATCCCACTGTGTTCCTCCCACATGTGGGAATTGTGGGAGTTACAATTCAAGATGATACTTGGGTGGGGACCCAAATCTCCAACCATATCATCTGGTTATGATGAAGTAGTTCTTATTAGACCAAGCTTCCCACTAAGAGTAACTATTAACATAAAAACAACATTCAAAAATACAACTACCAGAGACATGGTAGAGTATATATAAGCAGAAAAATCTGAAGGGATCTTTGGTTTTTGAAAGAAGGGAACAGCCACGAGTTTCTGGTTGATGGTTTTGGTTGGTGTGTTCTTTGCCTGAGGGCAGGCTCACTCAGTGGTGCAAGTAGCAACTAAAATTTGGATGGAAATCTGTAATCTTAATGACTTGAAGACTGAGATGACAGATTTTGAGGCTGCCACAGCAACTGGGAAATGAGGTAACATACTGGGTTAATAGTGTCCACCAAAAATTCATGTTTACTCTGAATCTGTGAATGTGACCTTATTTGGCAATAGAATCCTTGCAGATGTTGTAGTTAAAATGAAGTCATACTAGATTAGGATTGGCCCTAATCTAATGATTGGTAGCTGTATAAGAAGGAAATGTGGACACAGATCCACAGAGGGAAGATTGCTATGTGAACAAGGGGGCAGAGATTGGAGTATGCAGCTATAAGCCAAGGAATGCCAGGTATTGCTGGCAATGGCCAGAAGCTAGGAGAGAAGCATAGAACTGAATCTCCTTCAGATTATCTAGAAGAAACTCACCCTACCAGTACCTTCATTTTGGACTTCTAGCCTCCAGAATTACAAGAGAATAAATTTCTTGTTTTAGGGCACCCACCTTGCTATACTTTGTTATGGCAGTTCTAAAAAACAAACACAGGAAGAAAATATATAAAAGGAGGGGGCACCCCAAATTCTGAGTATAAAATATGTACTATCTCTGGCTGACCCATGAATTGCATATGCATGGAGTAGCTAAGGCTAAATAATTGAATAGGATTTCAGCTGCATCACTCCACAAGAGATAGAGTTTAAAGTCTGAGTGCAGCCCAATTAACCCCCTGCTAAGATAACAATAAATTCATCAAAATCCCCCACAATATTATCTTGAGGAATGTAAGAGAATCCAGCCTTTACAGTATTTCACTGTAAAGATACAATAAATATTTATAGTATATCATTTATAGGATGCAATTCCAAATTACTAGACACATGAAACAACAGGAAAATGCAACCCTTATTCATGAGAAAAGGTAATAATTTGTCTGTTAGATGGTTAGGCTATTGAAATTATCAGATAAGGAATTTTTTTATGAGGCAGGGTCTTTCTCTGTTGCCCACGCTGGAATGTAGTGGCACAACCTCGGCTCACTGCAACCTCTGCCTCCTGGGCAACTTCTGCTTCCTGGGCTCAAATGATCCTTACACCTCAGCCTCCCAAGTAGCTGGCACTATAGGTGTGCACCACCAAGCATGGCTAATTTATTTTGTATTTTTTGTAGAGATGGGGTTTTCCCATGTTGCTCAGGCTGGTATTGAACTCTTGAGCTCAAGTGATTCATTGCCTTGCCCTCCTGAAGTTCTGGAATTACAGGCATGAGCCACAGTAGCCAGCCAAATAAGGATTTAAAAACAATTATTATAACTGTATTCAAGAAGGTAAAAGAAAATATGCCTGCAATGAGCTAACAAATGGGAAATTTTAGCCAAGAACTATAAACTATGAAAGAAACCAATTCGAAATTATAAAACCGA